AGGGGTGGGATGGGACAGGGGGATACTGGGGACATTGGTGGTGGAGAATGTGCACTGGTGGAGGGATGGGTGTTCATTGTATGACTGAAACTCAAACATGAAAGCTTATAACTGTATCTCAGTGATTCAAAAAAAAAAAAAAGGAGCCTCATAAATAACCTGCATCAGAAATGCCACATTGTCCCACAGAAGGCAACGAGAGTCTTCCCCTGACCAGACCTCTTCCCCCTGCCCTTCCCGCTGCCCAAGGCAGTGCTGAGCGCGAGCGTCCACCCCAGAGAGGCCTCAGTCCCCAGTGCCAAGCACACTTCCCAATTTTGTATCAGAGAGCTGTGAGCACACCAACCTACTCAAGTCCATTTGCATTATGCCAAAAGAAAAATCAGAGAAATGGGCATTTGATCCGGAGTGGCCTGGTCAGGAGGAGGAACCTGTAGGTCTCCTGACCGGTGATGTGCTCAACTGCCCCGTTTCAGTCAGGACCAAGTGGTCTCTCTGATTTGTTTTGCAAGGGGCATATACCATGGTGCTTGGTGGCCTAGAGGGCGGCCCACCAGGGTATTTCGGGGTGACATTCAATCCCAGTGTGGGGGGACCCAACCCCGCGCCTCGAGGGCCTTCACTACTGAGCCACATACCCAGCCTCACTCCAACTTCCTAAGTGTCAACTTTCAAAAGGTCTTTTGGGCACGATACCTTTCATTTTACTAAATATCAGTTTGGCAACATCTTCTGGGTTAACGAATTTTGTTTCTTCGCCTGTATCTATTTGATATCGCAATTTCCCATTTTTTTCGGTGACCTATAAAGGAAATGATTTATATGTTAAATAAGAAAATTCGGTTCATAAAAAAGGCTCTTTCAAGTCAGGAAAAGTTCACAACTTTAGCGACTACTTTGTGTAATAGAAATGTAACAAAAGCATACTCACTAAACATTTACTTTCTGTGATGTATTTCTGAGCTTGGGGGTCATCAGAGCTGACAATAAAGAGAGACAGGTATTAAAATTAACATTGCTGACATGTAAGGTTTAAAGAATTTGCATTTTTCAATCACTGAAAAGTGTACCAAAAATTTAAGTTGCTGACATTAAAAACATCAAATACTAAGACATAATTACATCCCACGTCCATAATTATACTTTGGATTAAAAGGTGCATTTACAAAGGTCATAGTCATTCCACTGAAGTGTTCACTTTCGCACCTGACAGTAAACAGCTTTTAACTTGCTTTCTGATCTTGCTATTAGCACATCTCATACACCGAGGGGTGACTGTTCCTATCAGGGATTTGCGTTATAAAACAGCTTTCACATCTGATTCTCAAAACTCAAGCACCGAGGTAAACAGGACAAAGGAGATTTGCAAAACAGGACAAACCAGGACACCAGACACCATCTTTATCACATGGCTTCGTAACATGAATCAATACTCAAACCCCGAAGATCCAGATCGAATGCTCTATAAGAAAAGGCATAAGAGTACAGAGCACGTGTGCGTGGATGCATGCGTGTGTGTTATAATATAGATGCTTTTAAAGAAACACTGATGGCAAAAAAAAAAAAAACACATCAAAAAACCACAATGGGCATTACATTGCTCAAGAGTAACACCAATTTATGCACGCTGCACAAAGCCTTTCGCAGGTTTTACCTCACAGAACTTCCCGACAGCCAGGTGGAGATAGTTTGGCCCAGGATCCAAAGGGGTCAATGACTTATCAGCTAAAGCTGTGACTCCAGGCCGTGTCCACCTGACTAAGACAGTGAATGGCCTGCACCTTGATCAGAAAGTCATCCACAGTCAAATTCTTCCAGAAACTGAGAGATTTCCCCCCAACCCCACCAAGCCCTTCTCCCAGGGGCCTCGGGCGGTTCTGTTGAGGCATCTTCAGTGTTTTATGTGGGGAGGAGAGGAGTGATTGGCCTGGCTGCTGGGGACTTGGGCACCTAAGGACTGTTCTCAGAGGACGAAGAGGTTTTAAAATGGACAGATTTAGCTTAGAACTCTAAAACACTTGGGTGGCCTCCGACTTCTTCCTCATCACCTAGAAACAGGCAGGGTACGGGGATGGAGTGTGTCCAAAGCCACATGACAGAGCTGGATGGAATCCGAGCGTTCCCAGTGAGCATCCTTCCCACTCCTCCCTCGCCCCACTTTTCTCGGGTTTAGACTACACCCTGGATAATTACTTGAAAAGCCATAAAAAAAAAAAAAGACGAAGCCTGCGCATAATTTGAGGTTGTCTGCACGCGGGCATAACCTCAGCATGCTATTCATCAGCTCTGCTTCCTTCGTAACAGGATTTGCCAACCAGAGCCGGCTGTCCTGGTCTGGGCAGTGACGGGTAGCACGCGGACATAATTGTTTATCTGGGATTTTACGAGATAGTTTGCTTGTGGTCATGCCGAGGGCCCGATTTCGTGAGAACAAGCACAGGGAGCTCTGGGCCAGAGTCAGACGTTGGTAACGAGCTGGCAGAGCAGCAAAGAACTGAGGTGGTGACGGAGCGCTAGGAGGCAGTGCACTGACCCACAGCGACATACAAGCCAAAACTTTATTTGTGCACACCAGGATTAGGCCGCGTGACATACACAGAGGGTAGCAGGCGGGCGGCACACACATGGCACCTTGTTGATGGGCGTGCATCCTGCCAGCTGCTTCCCCCAGTGTGGCCGCGGGCGGGCACACCCCCAGGAGGGTCCCTGCCCCGGAGCGTGGCAGCCCATGCATGTTCTCCCAGCGTGCCCGGAGCTGATGTGCATGTGGGTAACCGACCCCGCTGCCAGCATCCTCTGGGGCTTGGTTGCAGCCTCAGTTTCCTCTTGACAGCCTTTTCTCTTTAGTTTCAGTGCCACATGGAGGGTACTTCAGCCATGAGCATGTCGTGCCATGCCCTGCCCAGCTGAACTCCGCTTCTTCCCTGGGTGCTAAGTCCCCTTGGATTGCACTTCACTGCCACAGGGAGACCCAGATCGCCATCGGCAGCTCAGAACCCCCTTGTCCTTCGGGTACGTGGCTGGTTTTTTCCAGTGAGTGCACCTACTAACGGGGTTACCTGGCCACCAGTGACACACTCCCATGAGGGTCAAGAACAGGGAAGATGTGTCTGTGTCCCCACCTCAACTCTGAAGATATGCTCTCCTCCAAGCTGGGATCCGCTGTCTGGGGAGAGACTCACACACATGCCTCGAGAGGAAGAGTGCGGGATGCTTCCTCGCCACTTGCCAATGGGAAAGAGTTCAGGGAAAACCTCACATTGTCATTTGCCATGCTGCTTAGCACAGAATCTTTCCCCCCACAAATGACCAGTACTAGAAGACATCGAGCATGAATTCCTTGTTATTAAAGAAACCGGAGGGCAAATGATTCCGGCAGAGACAGACCAGGAGCAGGCGAGGCCCCTGTGGTCTAGCTGAGTCCCACGTCCTTCAACACATGGGCAGCTCCTGCAGGCGTCACTGTCCCAGGTCACCGGCCTGCTGGGCATTCACTGTCCCAATCTGTCTGGTGACGCTTACCCTTTCCCTCCACTTTTTTTTTTTTTGGACTCTTTGGGTCACACACCTGGAGATGCTCAGGAGTTCTTCCTGGCTCTGTATTCAGGAATTACTCCTGGCAGTGCTGGGGGACCATATGGGGTGCTGGGGATCGAACCTAGGTCAGCCGCATGCAAAGCAAATGCCCTTCCCTCCACCTTTTATTATCTCCAGTATTTAGTTAAGCACCTAAGTCTAAAAAAGAGAAACAAAACTTCCCCTTGCTTTTTTTTTTTTTAAATAGCCTCTCGATGGGAAGAAAGCTTTTAAAATTCTAAGCTCCCAGATTGTGCTTTCAGAAAGTTCAAAGTTAACCACTAAAAGCTTCCTCCAGTGAATGGAAAGTGCCTTTGAGCTCTGGGGCAAGGCAAAGTCCCGGTGAGGGCTGGGGCTCAACAGGACTCAGCTCTGCCTTTATCCACAACACGCCCAACAAGTCCCAAAGCGCTGCTCTTCCACCACCTTTATGCCCATCAGTACGTCAACTTTCGCCCACATCCTTTGAGAGAAAGGTATCTTTTGAGAGTTCCCCCAGGAGGACAGTTTTTGAGGGCTCGCCTTCTGTGACACATTAAACAGGGAACAGCTCACAGAAGAAAAAAGAAAAATAAAAAAGTGCATTTCTTTTAGCAACTTGCCCGTACTTCTCACAGGCCTCAAGTATTTCCATACTGTTCAAATGGCAACCCAAAGTTGAAGGCCTGGAATCACACATACAAAGTAATATGGAATGTAAAGAATTTACATCCATCCAATCTTTTTTATAAGACAGCCAGCATCTACCACGTCTATCAACACGGACCTGACTGTGGGTCCCTGTCAGTTCCTGACCATATCCTCCCAGTGACAGGAGACTCAGTGGGTAAAACCGGAGAAAAATGGCTCGGCTGTTCGGGGCGCTCATGTCAGGTGTCTTATGGACACAGCAGTGTACATGTGAGAGGGGAAAGTGCAACCACATGTTATGTCTGCGCCAAACAAAGACCCCAAACTCCAGGCAGCAGCCTTGGTAAAGGAGGGAAGTTTCAGGGATGTGGTCAAGGCGGGTACCCTTACCCTAGCACCAGCACCAACTAAAGTGGCCCCCAGCCCCCGAGGCCAAGGTCCTGTCCCTTAGTAACCTCCTCCTGCTTTCAACTCCCAACCCCTCCACATCTACCTAACAACGGCCCTGGGGGTTGGCAGGCTATCTCCTTGCTCTGATTCACAGAGGAGGAAACTGAGGAAGCGGCAGATGAAAGTGCTCTGCCCCAGTGCCCAAGGCGAGCTGCCCGCTGCCTGGCCCTGGTGCCAGTGATGCCCTCCTGGCCCCCTCTCCCACCAGGAGAGTGTTTCTGGCGAGAGGAGACCCTCGGAAAAAGCCATGGGCATGAACATTCCTACCCCTACAGGGAAGAGGGGGGGGAGGAGGAGGAGGAGGAGGAGGGGGAGGAAGAGCCGGGGACCTGGGGAGTGCCCCGTGGACCACCCGCTCCTAACTCTTGGCATTGGAAATGAGCCTCTGTAGCAGCTTCTCCAGCCCCAGCTGAAAAGCCCCGGTGGCCTCTTCCACGGCGCTGGCCAAGCGCCCGACGGCCACCACGGCATCCCTGCGGAGCGCATTGGCTGCGTCCTGCTGGGCGCTGGCCTCCTCGCCCATGGCGATCAGCCTGTCCAGCTTCTCCTCCTCGCGCCGCGACAGTTCCCGCGCCAAGCGCCTGTTCTCAGCCAGCTCAGCGGCGATGGTCCTGGCCACCGACCGCCTTCGCCGCCGGCCCCAACGTGGCAGGGGCTCACTGGGCACAGGCCTGGCCCCCCCGGAAACAACAGGTGTCCCAGTGGCAGGGGTGGCGTGCGGGGGCTGCTGCGGGGCGGCCATGCCGGGAGCCTGTTGGCCGGGGCCGGGGTCCCCAGACACAGCCAGTCTGGTCGGGGGGCTGCTCCGGCGGGGAGCGACCACCCCTCGGAAAAGGCGGTGGGAGCTGCGGTAGCTGGGGGTCCCTCGCGAGCACCCTGAAAGACAAAGCACCAAGGTTGCAAGAGGGCCGCGGCGCCCAGGAGAGCCAAGACCATCTCTGTGGGGGGCTCACTGCCGCCTTCTGCGCCACCCCCCTCGCCTGACCGGCCCTCTGCCCACACCGTTCTCGGTCCCACTCAATAGCTACGGACACAGGGTGCCCATCCAATGCAGCCAGAGTGACCTGGGGGAGGACTCAGGCTGCTTTGGGGCACAGAGGGGTCACCCCCTTCCGTTCACAGGGTCACAGCTTTTCAAAAGCGGGTCTGCAAACCATTAGGTTTCTTTTCTTTCTTTTTTCTTTCCTTCCAAAAGAAAAGATTGGGGGAGCAGGGGCAGAAACAAAGGTGATGCCCAGGAGGGCGGCATCCCGCCACATGGCGCAGTGGGGACCAGGAGCCCCAGGGGCCCCTATCCTCCTCTTGCCGGGGAGTTACCTGGGCCCGAGGATTCATCCCAAGAGTCCTCCGGGTCACTGATTCTCAGCTGACAATCCTCATCGGATCCCTGCACTGACCCCAGGGCAGTCTGGGGGGCTGCGGCCTGCGGCCCCTGGGCATGCAGAAGGCCGGTCACCTCTTCCCGGGGGGCCTCGGAGACCACAAGGCCCGGTTCCCCATGCTTGGCCCAAGCCGCACCGTCCGATAAGGGGCCTGGGTCTGCCGCGGTCTGGCTCCGCAGCAGCTGGTCGAGCATCTCGTAGAAGGGGCAGTGCGGGGCGTCCCCTGAGCTGGTGGCCTGGGCCACGTAGGCCTTGAGGTACAGGGCCTTGAGGACCTTGAACTTGGAGCGGCACTGGCGCTCGGTGCGGCGGAAGCCTTCCTGCTGCATGCGCTGGGCCACGGCCTGGTAGACGTCGGCGTTGTGGTGCACAGTCTGCAGGCGCCGGATGTACTCGGCCTCGCCCAGGATGGAGAGCAGGGCGCGCGTCTCCTGTCTGGACCAGCGGATGCCCGCGCTGCCGCTGGCCCCGGCCATGGCGCGCTGGTGGGGGGCAGGCCAGAGGGAGGGAGGAGGCTGGAGGTGTGGGGAAGCTCCCAGGGAACTTCCGGGGAGAGCCGACTCTTCCCTCTCGGGGCTGAGTGCTAGGAAGGCAGGGTCAGCAAGCGCACTTCTGGCTGGAGGTCCACTGGGAAAGGAGAGTCACGGGGAGGCCAGCGGGGTCACTGGGACATCAAGCGAAGTGGTGCTGCCTGCGAGTAGGTCACATACACATGCACGGGAGGGAGGAGGGGGGGGACCCACGCTCAGGCCTAGAGGGACACACACGAGAGGGAACAACTGCTAATGAGAGAACTGGCGTGTCCGCCAACGGTCAGAAGGCTGCGCGGCTGAGAGCTATGAGAACCCTGGCCATCTGGAAAATGGTTCTAGAAAACAAACAAGGAGATGAAGGGGCCCATGGCCTGAACTAGGAAGCAGTTCCCTTAGGAGCGCAGACCACGGGCTAGCAACATCCTCCACCGACCTGCCGAGGCTCCCTGGGCCGATCTGTCCCCTCCAGAGCCTGCCTTTGTTTACAAGGTACCATTCAGGCTCATCAAAGAAGGCTGATGGCTTTAGTTTGGGCAGCAGGAGACCACCTGCCCTAGGATACTGCTACCGGGGGACTGTTTCCTGCTCCCGAGAGCTTCCACGTCAGTGTCCTGGTTGTGATACCTACTTTAATTTTGATTTAGAATTGTTACATGATGTTACCATGGAGTGAAACTGGTGAACCCAGTGAGACATTGGATCTCTCCCTTCTCCTAACTCACAACCATATGGGAAGTTCAAAGTCTCAAAATAAAAAAAAAAACCATAAACTAAAATAAATAGACAAGCAAGTATAGCTATTGCCAAAAAAAAAAAAAGTGAGTTCTCTTCAAAACACTCTAAATTTTGGTTTAGTGGATAGATATCCTAAGGAAGGAAATACAGATCAGGTTCGATTTAACGAAACATAGAGAGATAACTAAACGAATGTAGGAAAGAAATATTAGTGCACTAATCTGTAACCTATCATCAGAAGAGAGACAGACACAAGGAAATAACTACTTACGTTCTCAACAGAATGAAGTAAAGAGCAAAGAACCCACAACCCAGGGTCTGGGGATCTGAACTGCACCCCCTCCAACTAATTCAGAGGTACCCTAACTTCTAGATGCCTAATTTTCGAACTCATAAATGGAAGGGAAAAATACCACCCCAGCGATCTCACAGGGATTTAAGAGGATTAAATAAAATAATAGATATGAATGCACTTTGAAAACTTAAAAACACAAAAGCAAGTATTACTATCCAGTGAAAATACGAAGCCCTAATTACTATGGAAATCTGTAATTTGAGGAGACAGAAGTCTGGGGAAGCAAGCTGCTTTAATCTTTTGATTAAAGTCACAACAGATGATTAACCTAATTCTTAAGATGTTAATTAAGCTAGTTCTTTAATGATTAACCGTAAGTCAACTGGAAAAGTTCGTTCCTGGAAAGTGTCACAAGAGGACCTCCGGAAGAAAATCAATAGCTTCAAACCTAAACTATGAACACTAACAATAGGTTATATGAAATTCACGTCAAGTTCACAGAAATGTTCAAATTCCCACAAATTTTTTCATTTCCCTCCGTTAAAAAATAAGAAAACAAAAGTTCAAATAACCACTTCTGAATGAAAAAAAAAAGTTATTAAAACTAAATGCATGTTGGACACTAGCAGAACTGTCAGTAACAGAAAATAATACAAAACAACAAATACCTGGGTGAATCCCTTCTGTGAACCAACACCCTAATCATTGTCAAGAGACCATCAATGTTCCACAATGACCATCCTCAGCACCGAAATCCAACTCTGCTGCTTGCAGCCGGTTTCACACCATGCTCAGCGGGCATCACCCCCTTCCCGGTACTCCACGCAAAGATGCTTTCTTCCTTACCTTCTGCCCAGGATCTGCTTGACTTTCATCACAGTGTTAGAAATATTTCTTATTCTACTCTGTTTCGCTGCCAACCCCACAACCTGGAAGAGAGCCCACGATTAACAGCAGGTAATTTTCACTGATTCTTCACAGGGCCGCACAGCCGAGGGAAGGCTCACCTCTTCATTCTCCGAGTAGGCGACTATCGCTGGAGTGACTCTGTCCCCGGCGTCATTGGCCACCACGTCCGCCCGTCCATCCTAAGGGGGAAACACAATGTGCTGAGTGCTGAGCATGAACAACACTGTTTCCCCCGGCCCGTGGAGCACCCAGGGGCCGGAGTGGCCTGCCCAGCACTGCGGGGAGAGACTCGCCTGTCACCCAGGCTTGGGAGCCTCCAGTGACCAGGATGGCTTTCCTGGATTTCTCTCCAAGGCCTCGCTTCCAGGGTCTGCTCTGCAACCCACGCCCGGCTCCGACCCGAGCCTGGCGCCGCCTCCTTCCCCTGCAAACGCCCTTCCTCTCCGCATGCACCTTGCGGGTTTGAGGGGTTTCCTGAGGCCTAGCGTGTAATCGTGACTCCCGCTGGGGTCAGGGAGAGGGGTCCTGAGTACCAACCCTCTCTCCTCCCCTCTGATGCGACGAAGGCAGGCTCCCCACTCCTGGTCCAACCAGAACGATGCCAAAGGGCCAAGCCAGCACCTATGCACTTCCCGGGTCCAGCCAGCATCAATGCACTAGCCACCCGGGCGGGGTCGACAGCTTGGGTCTCAGATGCTGGGGGAGTGGGGGGTGGGAGGGATGAGGGTCGGGCCTCCGGCGACTACGGCGCCCCGGGGACCTCCCGCCCCACAACACGTCCCCCACTCCCGCCTCCGAGTCTTGGGGCCACCGCCCTCCCACATGGCCTGCAGCTCCCACGAGCACGGGCACCCCCCCCCTTCACCCAGCAACTCCCGGTAGAGGCTCCCGGGGGTCTCAGGACCCCCTGACCGGCCTCCAGGTTCCGGCATCGTCCCCCCACCCCCAGCCTCGGGCTCCCAAAGGCACCGGGAGCCCCACCCGGACCTCCGCGTCCCTGGACCCCCAGCCTCCCCAACTCCCCCAGCCCCTCACCTTGTAGACGGCCACGCAGGCTGATGTGCAGCCCAGGTGCACCCCGATGGCCGCCATGAGGCGGAGGCCCAGTGGTCACAGCGCCCAGGCTGCGCGGGGCCCCATCAGGCACCGCGGACACTTCACGTTCCCGCCCGCCCACTGCGGCCAGCCCCTAGCCCGCCGGCTCCGACATTGCGGCCAATCACGATCAAGATCCCGCCTCCCCGCCTCAATGCACAGCCAATCGCCTTAGAGCGTCTCGCCCCGCCCCTCGTAGCACAGCCATTCCTGCAGTAGTGCGCACGCGCCAGTCCGGGAGCCGGCCTGCCAGCCGCCCCTGGCTCCGCCCCCTTCCCTTAGCGACAGCCAATGAGAACTCCTAACTGCCATAGGCCCCACCCCCTTCCTGTAGCAACAGCCAATGAGGACTCTGAGTCACCTGGCGTCACGCGTCCCGGGAGCCCTGCGGCCGGTGGCGGGCGCAGGTGGCGGAGGCGCTTGTAGCTGTCGCCCGGCATGTGGGGCGCAGGCCCAGCCGTTGTAATCGCCTTGTGCACCGGCCTTTGGCTCTCCCACCTCCGGCCCGCGAAGGGCCAGGAGGCCGGAGGGCGGCCGGGGGCCGACTGTGAAGGTGAGCGGTGTGGAGCCGGCTTGCATGGCGGTGGCACCGCGCTGGGGCGCAGCTGGCTCGGCTTTAGCTGCTCAGGGCTCTGGCTATAAATAACGTTCATCGGGCACCGAGGGCCCCGGGCCCTGAGCTTTCCATCGCCTCCGCCAAACGGGGACGAAGGTTGGCTCCCCAGACCCGGGCCTGGGGATTCCGTGGAGGACGTGTCCTGTCGTGCTGTGATTTCCAAATTTAAATCAAAGCCGGGTGGGATTGGGTTTGGGTTCGGGATCAGGTTCAGTTTTCTGCAAAAGCCGCTAGAAGCCGACGACCCTGGCGATGACCTGATGCTGCTGCTCCTAACCGGCGACACTTGGCTCCCTACTGTATGCATGAAGTCTTCTAAATTCAGATTAGTTGGACTATCCAAAGGCCAATAAAATGGGACGAGTTGTCTGTAATCTAGTGGGCTTAAATCAAGACCTAGCTAACGTTTTTTAGCACTTTAGAGTCGAAGGACTGAGCAGTAGTACAGCAGGTAGGGCACTTGCCTTGCACGTGGCCGACCGGGCTTCAATCCCCGGCACCCCATATGCTTGGTCACTTGAGCACTGCCTGGAGTTATCCTTGAGCACAGAGCTCAAGTGAGTGATCCCTGAGCACCGCCGGGTGTGGCTCAAACAGGAAACAGAGTTGGAGAAAGAGGAGTGCTTTTCTAGTCAAACTGCTGCCCCAAATAAGACCCAAACAAGCCCTCTGGCTCTTCATGGTAACCCCTCTAGGAACATTTGGCAGCTCAAAGAGAATTAGCTACACAAATAGCCCCTTACTCTTACTCTTCTCTAGTTGCAATAATTGTATTGATTCATATATATTAATGTATCTCACCCCCACAAACCTTTCTCTAAGTCTGATACTCTATCCCTCCATAATAGCAACTGTGTCTGTTGCCCCCATGACCAACATCTATACATAGCTGAACTTCATAGTGGAAGTCCAGCCTTCTGTCAGCCCTCCAAGAATTAAAACTTTTTCTCCAGAAATGCAAATGACTGACATGCTGTTACTTTAAAAAAAAAAAAACTTTTAGGACAGGTAGATAACTAAGTGAACATTTTGCTTTAAGAGCGCATAGAATGCAACTCAATCCCCACTTAGTAGGACTGGCAAGGCGGAATCGATTGATGTGACTAGTCATTTGTAGTCTAAAGTCTCAGCCTCTGCCTAGAATCACTAAGGCTAAGTGAGAACATCTGGTCATTGGATGGGTTGCTTGTGCCTCTTTTCTGAATTGGTGACAGCTTATTGCTATATGAACCAAGTCTGGCCCACCAGGGTATATTTTTCACTTACTAAAGAACTTGTAGGATCACAGGGAAAGACCTAACTATGTTTCTGGGGCATGCGAAAGGGGGCGGGGGGCTTGGAGAGTTGGTGTTGAGCTTACACCAGGGCTTACACCTGGCTCTGCCCTCAGAGATCACTCCTGCTGGTGCTCCAGCAGCCTTACAGGGTGCAGGGATCGAACCCAGGATGGCCATAAGCAAGGCAAGCGCCTTCCCTGCTGGATTGTCACTCCAGCCAGGACACTGCTTTCAGAACAAGAGCTAGGTTCAAAATGGCTGTCTTACTGCAAAAAACAACAACAAAAACAAACGTTTCTGATCTCTTCCAAAGGACTGCAAGGATTGGGCAGTGAGCCTGTAGCATGTAACCCTGGGACACTCCCACCTCTGGCTCCCCCCACAATAAAAGGGGCCAGAAAGATAGGACAGTGGGTAGTGCGCTTGCCTTGCATGCAGTGGAGCCAGATTTGATCCCTGGAACTCTGTATGGTCCCCTCGGCCCCTCTAGGAGTGATTCCTTGAGTGCAGAGCCAGGTGTGGCCAAAAAGGGATCTTTTGGTGAGTCAAAGTACCAGTTAGATCCCCCTGGGCCCATTGCCTAGAAGACACAAGGGTAGAGCATTGTATAGGAAGCCCAGGAAGGGTTAGTTGTTGGGACACTGAGTTTCTGGTCAGAATCAAACGAGGATTAGAGGCTGCTGAGGCCTCTCCCCAGCGGCCCTGTCTCCCTCTTTATCTCTCCTCTCCTCTTAGCTCTCCTCTCTCCTCCTTTCTCCACTTCACTCTAATCTCTCTCCCTCTTTTTTCCTCTCCTCTCACCTCTCCCACTTTCTCTTCCTTTCCTCTCCTCTCCTCCATTCTCTCTTGTCCTCTCTTTTGTCCATTGTCCTCTTTCCTTCGTTTCTCTCCTCTTCTCTCTCCTCCTTTCCTTTCTCTGCTCTCCCCACCTCTGTTCTCTCTCCCTCTCCCCCAAATTCACACCAATCCATTTTCCAGCTAGGAGGAACCAGAAGCCACCTAAGCCGCAGACCACTGCACATTGCATTTTGAGTCCAAACTTTCATCTGCTGAGTTGATTTGTTTTCAGATTAAGATCTGGAATGGGGTCCTGACTGCCTGCTGCCTCCTTGGCCTGAGCTGGGTCCTCCCTTGGTGTGGCAGCCTCTGTCGGCTTGTCCTTTCCCTGAGTCCTTCCCCAGGGTAGTTCCAATTCCTCTTGTTCCCTGACACCCTCCTTTCTAAAAACCAACACCAAAACAAACCAAAAAAGTTAAAGAGAAATAAAGGTATGATGAGAACCCAGAGAAAAATGGTGATGCATGTTCCTTGGACTCTCAGAAGGAATAGAAAAAGATGTTTTCCCCAAACTGATCCAAGTCATCAGCTGTAGACTTGGAAGTCCAATGTATTCCAAACAGCATATGAGAAAAAACTGGGTAATGGAGAAGTGCAAAAGGAGGAAAAAGAATCTCCTGTTGGATTTTGTTTAGAGGGGGTCAGACCCTGTGGTGCGGGCCCTGAGCCTGAAGAGAAAAATGTCTTGAGTTAAGTCCTATACTAAATTGCTCCCCACTGGAGGAGTTGCTTTTTTCCTCTTCTACTTGGCAATAAACTTTTCTAGATTCCAAAAGAAAAGAAAGAAAAAAAAATGTCTTACTCAGAGAGAAAAGACTGAGTCCCTTCTAAGGAAGAGCAGCAAGGCCAAGTTAGTTGAACGATGCAAAACCCAAAAGCCGGCTGCCAGTAAGGCCAATAGGAAATGGAAAGACAAACGGAACAGCTGGGGTCCTCCCCGCCCCACCCCGGGTCCCATGCCAGCTCACCTCCTCTTCCTTCTGAACGTGGTCCTGAAACTCATTTATTTAGAGCAACATCAAAAGCGAAGGTCGAACAATGAAGCAGTATGCCAGTTATTCAGGAAACTCTGGTGATGCTCCAAGTCTTCACATAATGCATTCATTCATTTTAAAATGACAAGATTCCTCTCACCCTGGTGCCCAATACCACCAAGACCAACTGGGGGCTTCTAAGTGTGTATGTGAGTGACTGAGTGTGTGTGCTGGTCTCCAAAATCAAGACTGAAACCCCAAAATAGAGTACAGTATGACCTGTTATACAATAGAGACTGGCCTTCAGTTCTAGGGGATGTGGATGGAATGTGATGCTCCTAGTCTACAAAAATACAATAATACAATCATTCCACAAACCTGATTTTAGGGCATTTGCCTTCCGCGCAGCCAGCCCGGCCGAGCTGGGTTCGATTACTCCCCCCCCTTGGAGAGCCGGGCAAGCTACCGAGAGTATCTCGCCCGCAGAGCAAAGCCTGGCAAGCTACCCGTGATGTATTCAATATGCCAAACACAGTAACAAGAAGTCTCACAATGGAGACGTTACTGGGCCCGCTCAAGCAAATTGATGAACAATGGGAGGACAGTGGGTTTTTTTTTTTTTAATTTTTCTTGTCTTTTTTGGGGGGGGCGGGATCAAACCTGACGATACTCAGGGGTTACTCCTGGCTCTGCACTCAGGAATTATTCCTGGCGGTGTTCTGGGGACCATATGGGATGCCGGGGATCAAACCCAGGTTGGCCACAGGCAAAGCAAATGCCCTCCCTACTGTACTATCACTCCAGCCCTTGATTTTAAATATTTCAATCATTATATATTTTTGGAAAAAGTTGTAGCTCTTTTCCTGCAGGTGGCATTATTATAGTTTTTAAATACCATGCTTCTCTCTTGGGTTCTGACTAGTTCCTTAATTGAATTAGAATTTCACTTAGCTATCTTTAATTCAATTCTATGAATATTGCCTTTTTATTTTTTAGTGCCAGAGATGAATCCAGAGCCTCATACATGTAAGCATGAGCTTTAACCTCTGAGCTACAATTCTGACCCCTACAGCCAACTATTTTATTGAGACTGTTGGGAATTTTTGTAAAAAAGAATTATGGTACATTTAAATGGAATAATATTTCAAGCACCCAAAAAAGAGGTGATAAATAGTCTTCATACCTAGATTTAAAGTTGGTATGTTGTCATATTTGATGCTGCTCTCATAAAAATAGCTGTATCCAGAGCCAGCTACTTTATTTTCTCTGATCCTTTTCACCTTTGCAGAGGTGGCAAATGCCACTATTCTAAAGTTAATACTGCATGTTCTTTCATTTTTAAGAACTTTTACTAAAAATGTGTACATTAGGACTGGAGAATCAGGAGGGGGTTGGGGAGGCACTTGCTTTGCAGGCAGCTAATTCTGCTTCCAGCCTTCCAGCTGTTGACACCGCATGTGGGTCTCTGAGCACCTCCAGGGGGCCACTCCTGGCCCAGTCCCCACCCCAAAATACATGTATCCACAAATAATCGATGCCTTCTTTGTGATCATAGATATACTGTAAATTATGCACTGTATGTATTGCAACTTTTCCTTCTCACCATTACATTGGGGCATTTATGCTCATTAATAACTATAGGGGAATTTCTCTCTTAACGCCCCATCAGAATTCTGCTCTATACAGTACAGCTCATTTGTCAGTTCTCTCTTTGAGGGAGTTACATTTCCCCCCACTTTTACACAATTTTTAAGAGGGCTGCTTTGAATATTTTTTTGGGAGGTTTTCCTTGCCATCTGCAAGTGGAAGGTCCTGCTTGGGATAATTTATTTGGGAGGCTATTTTTGAGTCTGGAATGCTGTTACATTAATTTATAGGGAAAAATGTTTAAGCATTTCCAGACCCTCCAAAATAATCTACCAGACCATCCCCGGCAGGAATGTTTTGCCTTTGAGAAGCACCCCACTAAGCACATACATGATGAATTCTCCTGGTCACAGGACAATAGCCGCTGAGTCACAAGGCACATGCAGTTTTTTTTTTCATTTTTTCTTTTCCTTTCTTTTTTTTTGGGGGGGGGTGTACTTGGCTCACAGTCAGCTGTGTTCAAGCTACCCCCAGCTCTGGGTGTGCAAATTTGAAATTGCAGTCCGGATCTCTATATGACCTTTGATTTTGTTGCAAACATGTGGCTTAAGAAGTGTCTTACCTTGATGTTTTGTTGATCTAAAATCACCGCCCCATGAGAGTGGTGGAAAGTTAGGACATCAGCAGGTAACTAGAGAAAGGACCTCTGAGTGACCCATTTTAGGAACTGGGCAGAGATGAATGCATCGTAAATCTAGTTATGACTAGAACAGAAGATTGGACTGACCCGACCTGGACAGGAATAGGGCCACAATTAGGAAGAACCTACTGGGAACTGAAAACAGAATCTACCTACCACAAACATTCCTAGCAGCAAGACTGTGGTGTAAGTCCCAGATTCTCTCCAGGTGCCCTAATTGCACGTTGTTACAATGCAACCAGTCAGGAAGCTCTATTCTCTGACTCATTTTCCCTTTGTCCCATCCTCTGCTGGATTGTCAGAAATTTACGGATATAAGGTGCTTTACCTCTGATCAGCTCCAATAGCTTCAGGCCATTTGCCAAGCAACAGTCCCTGGGCATTTTGGCCAGTGTAAATACATCTTGCCTTTTGCCCCCCACCCCAAGACTGTCTTGTTGTGCTTGATTAAGCAAAATCTGTTAAAAACAAGGGGTCAATCCCAGCAGTGCTTGGGGGACCATTGGTCCCAGGGATGAAACCCACTGAGTTATCTCCCCATCCTCTCTGACTTTCCTTTTAGAAGAATGGTTAGAAGCCAGAGAGAAAGTACAGAGAGAATTCAGGCTGCCTTGCGTGTAGCTACCCCTGGTTCAACCACCAGCATCTCATGGTCTCCTGAGCATCTCAGGGTGCAGCCTTGAAAGCCCCCAAGCTCCATGAGTATGGCCTGTGTAATCCAAGGTTAAGCATCCTTGTACCCTACTTGGCCAAGAATCACGAGGAGTGGCCTCTAGGACTCCTGAGCTCTGCTTAAAAAGCCTGCAAAAGTGAAGGGAAAGGAAAGGAAGGGGAGGGGAGGGGAGGGGAGGAGAGGAGGGAAGATGAAAACAGGGGGAGGGGAGGGAAAGAGGGAAGGAGAGGAGGGGAGGAGAAGAGGGAAGGAGAGGGGAGGAGAGTAAGGGAGGGGAGGAGAGGAGAGGTGTAGAGAGGGGATAGGAGGGGAGGGGAGGGATTTTAGTAATCAACAGATCTGATTCTAGCAATCATCTGGCCAACGCAGGGGCAACTATAAAAGCGAAATTATAAAAGAATCAAAGAGCAGAGAAGAGAAATATTTACCAGAGCAATATGGAAAGGAAGGCAGCCACCTGGAGAAAGAGGAAACCTAAATAATAGCTAGTTATGTCAGCAGTCATGATGAACTGGGTAGAGTGTAAGCATGAGGGAACCCCAAATACAAGACAATCTTGACATCCCAGCTGGGGCGGCAAGGAGGACTCAGGGTGAGATTCCCAGGTTCCTTTATCATCCGAGGAGAGAGCAGACATGAAAGATAACCCAGATTAACCTTCAGCTACTTAAGCATATTTCAATGCAGGCAGGTGGGAGAGAATGCCCAATGCATCTCTGAGTTCCATCGCTGGACACCTGGGCACAACCAGGTGTAGTCCAGGGAAACTCACCTCCCCTGAACCCCAGCAGCACCCCATTGCTGCTGGAGCATTGAACAGTCTGGCCCACACAGCTGGGCTGAGCGCCCTCGGCTCCTGGTGGTAAACGCAGACTCTGGAGTTTGCCAACAGGCTGAGTTTATGGCACATATTCAGACTTGGAGTGATAGCACAGCGGTAGGGTGTTTGCCTTGCACGCAGCCAACATGGCCGACCCGAGTTCGATTCCTCCGCCCCTCTCAGAGAGCCCGGCAAGCTACCGAGAGTATCTCGACCGCACGGCAGAGCCTGGCAAGCTCCCCGTGACGTATTCGATATGCCAAACACAGTAACAACAAAGTCTCCAATGGAGACGTTACTGGGCCCGCTCGAGCATTCAGACTTGACGTTGTTCCTTCGTTGTTTTGGTTTGGGGGCCACACCTGGTGGTGCTCAGGGCTTACTACTGGCTGGGTACTCAGAGGTCACTCCTGGTGGGCTTGGGGGACCATGTGAGGGGCCAGGGATGGAACTTGGGTTAGTCGCACGCAAGACAAGCACCTTACCTGCTGGACTGTCTCTCCAGCCCCCTTTTAATGTGCTTTTAACCTATCCATGGCACTTAGAGAAAGTTGTCTTTTCTCTTAAGGTCAGTCAAATTTTGTAAGGTTTATCTTATTTTAGGTGGAACTTGGTGCCAAAGTTGGGTTGATTGATTCCATAAGCTCAAGCCCCAATAGAAAGCCAAGAGTGATTGGCCCAACTTTTTTCATTTGAATCCATTGTCACCACACATTGAACCTTCCTTTGTTTGGTGAGTGGGACATACCCATAGACGTGGCAATGGTCTATTGGACACAAATCCATCATCTCTTGGTGTCTTCTAGTATGTACAGAATTCTTGGGCAGATTCTACGACTCCCTGAGAGCCAGAGGAATCGACTTTGCTCTGGATACCATAGAAAAAGAACTGATCAGTTTTTGCTTGGATGTCAAAGGAAAAGAGAATCGCCTGGTATGGTAAACTTCTGTCTTTCAGATTGTCTGGGCGTGAAGACAAAACTAACACTTTCATTTCTAATCTTTGCATTAATATTCTGCTTAGATGCTTGCTACAGTCTGTTCGCTGTGGAGAGCCAGCATGAAGCCATCTCAACGAGCCAATCAACTTTTGCCTAGAATCTATCTGGTTCCATTTTGCTTTCAAAATAGACTGCAATTAAATAAGTCCTTATTTTCTCTTTGAAAATAATTTAAGAATAATTTTATCTTGGGATGAAGGGAGAGGAAGGGAAAGGGAAAGGGAACGAGAGAGGACAGAGTCTTAAGAAAATAAAACAATTGAATTGATATTGAGAATTTGTCTGCTGAGTTTAGAGTGGGTAGATTTCATTTGTTACCAAGACAGTGAAACCTACCGAAACATTTTGTGTGATTATTTATGGATAACAAATGAAGTATTTATGTATATTTTTGTAATGGCCTTTTATGGCATTTCTTGGGCACCCCCAGATGACTTTGTTCAATATACTGCCTTACATCACCCAAGACAATCTTAAGTCCATCCGGTTTGCCTGAAATTGCCAAGCGGTCAGTTGTCAGTCATTTGTGGCTGGCGTTTATCCTGTGGCTGGGAAGAGTGGGATGAGTGATTTGTGGAGGAAAAGAATGGCAAAAAGCCTATTTCCTATCACATTAGGAATCTTCTCTCAGAACCATTTTGGACAAGCTTGGGGGGAAAGTTTGCATTGTTGGTTTCTCACCACTGCAATATGGAAACCTCTGTCACTTATTGGTGCCATTTGATGGTCTAGTTTTAAGTGTCAACGGCTTAAGTTGGGCCCCTTGAAAGACCACTGAGGGCATGCTGGGAAAGATCAAGGCCCAAGATTTTTGAATTTAGCCTGGTCCAGGGGTTGGCCTAATGACCTTCAGTAGGCTTGGGTAGTAAATGGTGATAATAATAGTCCTCCCTTCACAGGGCTCCTGTGAGGGCAATGCCTTCAAAGCCCCCAGATTAGTAGCTGACTGGGGGGGGGGGGGAAACAGCTTGCAGGTGTGGGCTCTGGAGGCCTCCCCCCACCCTCCCCTTCATCCTGAGCGTCCCTGTGAAGCGCTTCTAATTAGGATGGTCACGAGTGCAGAGTCATTTGTTTGCTGGCTTCTTTCTTGGCAGGGTGGGGGGGGGTGAGACAGGGGTGGGGGGCAGAGGGTGTGTGTTAACTGGGCCAGGAAAATTAGGCCGACCTTTTTCTGACTTCTCAGAAGGCTAGTTCTTGACTTTTTATAGCATCGGGGACACTGAGTTCTCTTAGTTCTCCTTCAGTGCTATTACCTAGGCGCCACTTCGGATGCGGCCACCAAGATCCTTGGCGAGGTCACACGACCCATGAGTGTGCACGTGCCGGCCAGGAAGATCTGTGAGAAGCTCAAGAAGATGGACAGCCAGATCTGTGAACTGAAATACGGTACAGAGGGGGTTTGAAAGCGTTTCTCCCCATCGGCTCCCAAAGGAACTCCCAGATCTCTAAGGCCACATTGGCAGAAAGCCGGGGCCAGAGGGAAAGCTTCCTCCCCTTCCACCAGCCAAGGGCCCCTCAGATGTCTGAGCTTCTTGGAGGCAAGATAGTAGAACAAGGGCCTGGTCCTTAGGAAGGGAAACCACCAAAGTGCAAAGTGTGACCTCTCAAATCACCAAGGCTATTCAGACTGAATGTCAAGGGAAAATTTGTACTGGAAGGAGCAGCCACTTGGGGTGATTTTGTTCTTGGTGAGCTATGAAGACAAGGATTCCATCATTCAAAGATGAAGTAAGGGGAGGCAAGAGACAGCTCCGTGGATCTGGGCCATGCCTGCAGGAGACTGAGGTGTTGGGGCGAGCAGGTGTGGCCCTAAGCCAAAGCCGAACCAAAAATGGCGTAAGGACATTTGAGTCTGATCCCAGCTTCTGCCCCTGACTTCACCCTCCCAGCCTTTCTGTTTCCTCCTGCTTTAGGAAATAGGTTAGTCACCTCAGATCAGGCTTGGTCTGGTGAGACAGCCCTATAGACTGTGCCGAAAATAAACAGCCAGCAAAGGAGGGCGTTCTATTTAGGACAGGAGCTTGGGCCTCGCACCTTCCTCAAACCTATTCTTAAGCTGAGGATTTGCATCTGGGCCAGCTTTTTGAGGGGAGGGGGAGGAAGTGGGGGAGGCCTGATAACATCTGGGAATTTTTTTAACCCCTGAGATTCCACCCCAATAGAGACCCTCGTGTTTCCCCCCACTTTTTTGGGCTAAGTTGTCCTACTAGACCTGGCACTCAATGGATGGACCATTGTCAGCTGGAGTGCATTTACTCCCATTTCCCAACGTAGCTACTGGATAATGCATCTTTGCCACAGCTCCTTAGTTACCTTGAAAGGGTTGAAAGGGGAGGAGAAACCAAAGACAACGTGCTTCTCCCTGCGCCCAGGGTAGTGATTATGGGCTAGACAGCCCTTTTTATTAGCTTCCTGGCACTGACACCTGGGCAGGAAGCACCAAGCCGTGAGAAAAATTTTTCACGAAGGGGCTGGTTCTTCCATGCCACACGTTTCTTTTACATCATCTCTGCTGTGTGTGGCTGGAGCCATAGCTCAGCGGGTAGGGTGTTTGCCTTGCACGCGGCCAACCCGGGTTTGATTCCTCCATCCCTCTCGGAGAGCCCAGCAAACTACTGAGAGTATCCCACCCGCACAGCAGAGCCTGGCAAGCTCCCCGTGACGTATTTGATATGCCAGACACAGTAACAACAACTCTCACAATGGAGACGTTACTGGTGCCCACTCGAGCAAATCTTGAACAATGGGAGGACAGCGCTACAGTGCTACAGTGCTGCTGTGTGTGAGGGCTCTTTCTGGGCCCTTCAATGATAGGAAAAGGCATCAGATATCACTAGAACAAATATTTGCAAGCGCTTGTACAATGCTGGCCACTAGGGGCCCTTGGGGAGCCACAGACCAGGGGGAATTTTGATACTGACTTTTTCTTTCGGAGATTTTGGGTCTCACGGAAGTTTGCCCCCCTTTTAAAGTGAATGCTAGGCCCCACCTCCTCTAGAAAAAAGATGCTAGAGCTTGAGTTGTTGAAGTTCTGGCTTCTGAGTCTCAACTGAGAAATTCAACAGGATATGAATCATCTAGGTTATAAACATTTCTAGTTTTATTTATTTATTTTTCTTATTTTTATTGAGATACTGTAATTTACAATACCATTCATGACAGTTTCAAACATATGCTATTTTTAAAGGTCAGACAGAATTTAAATTTTTTCTTAATTGAATCATTGTGAGATAGACCCTTACAAAGCTGTTCACGACAGTTCTAGTTTTAAAGACACTGGGTCAAGTCAGCAATAAAGTTAACAAACAAGGTAAGAATCAAGTGGGATTTTATGGTGAATTAGAAAGGTGTTTAATGTTTTATCTGAAAGAAAGTGTTCACTTTCCAAACTTTCTTTCCACAGTAGTGGGGCTGGAACCCAGGTTTCATACTTGCAAAGCATGTACTCAGCCTGTTGAACTATCTCTCTAGCCCTGGCCTTTTTTTTTCTTTTCTTTTTGGGTCACACCCAGCGATACTCAAGGGTTAATCCTGGCTCTGCACTCAAGAATCACTCCTGGCAGTGCTTGGGGGACCCTATGGGAGGCCAGGGTTTGAACTCTGGTCGGCCGCATGCAAGCAAACGCCTTCCCCACTGTACTATTGCTCCGGCCCTGGCCTTTTATTTTTTAGAGAGGAGAGGAAAATGATCCTTTCCTGGAAGAGGAATTATCGGTGTGAGTATTTTATAGACTAAATTTAAGTAAACCTTTGTGGGTGGCTTTACAGTAGAGAGGCAGCTTGAGGTTCTGACATTCTCTGCAGATAATCTATGAATCGGGGACCAGAGGTTGGGCTGGAGGCTTCAGCTCAGATAAGGCTGCTGAAGCCAGAAAGGCTGGCATGGGAGCACACACCAGCCAAGAGAAGTGGGTTTTCCTCACAGGGCAGTAAATGAATGCCATGAAAAATGAGCAGTTCCTGGGGCAGTGGTGCATTCACATGAGTTGTTTTTTTTTTAATTAGTAACTTTATTAAGTCATTAGTTTAGTTACAGACATTCCATATTCCAACTCCAATCCCACCACCATTGCACCTTCCACCAGTTATTTCTAATTTTCCCAACCACCCCTTTAGCCTGCCCCTCATAGCAGGCCCTCAATAATTGATTTTTATATTGCTTGTTATAAATAATTTACTAAAAGGATGATAAAAAGTTTCCTTAGAAGGAAGTCAGTGAAGATTGCTGTATCTCACCGTGAGATTACTAAGATGTTGTTACAGGTTAAGCCTTCTGTGTTTATATTTTATTAATCAAGATTGTTTGCCTTCTACATTCATCTCGTCCAATCTGCTGTGCCACTCCTGGTTTATAAGTGTTATCGAGTTTGAGCTCTTGCGGCTGAAATCGCGGCTGTGCATTGTTCTAAGGTGTCCAAAATTTTTAATGGGGTGAGATAGTTGGAGTTTAATTCTTAACAATCAGATGAGTTTTAAGCAGCAATCCCCAAACAATTAAGGATCAGAGAGAATGCTCTTAATTTTATCATAAGTTTGGGTTTCTCCTCATTTTTACCTAAAACTTTGAGAGAGCCTTGTAAAACTTTAGGAGGACTCATCTGTGTGTTTTTTTGGGGTATTGTTTCGGACCATACCTGGTGGTGCTCAGGAGGTCAGGGCTCAGTGCTCACTCCTGGATGTGCTTTGGGAGACCATGTAGTACCCAGGAGTGAACCCAGTCTCCTGTATGCAGATCACAAATGGCAGCATGAATTGTTCATCTCTTTGACTGCCAAGAGGTATTTATATAAAAAGTGGACCATGGGGCCAGAGAGCTAGTACAGAGGGTCAGCGCTTGCCTTGCACATGTTCAGCCTTGCTTCCATCTGAGCACTGCATACGGTACCTTGAACATCACTGAGAGTGAGCACAGAGCCAGGAGTAAGACCTGAGTTCAGCCAGGTATGGCCCAAATCCCCGCATCCCCTCCCCTAAATGTTCCAGCTCATTTCAGTCTATGGCTTTCGCTTGGCCATGCTCGTGGGACCACCCCAGAGCCCCACTTTTCAGGATCACTTCCCTTCTCTTTCCCTTCGAAGCAGTGAGTGGGATACTGTGTAATCACCTGAGGGGTCGTCTTGGAAGGCTAGGCATGGGAGCGGACACTGCAGAGGCCTCTGCTCTGCAGCAAGTCAGTTCCTTGGCCAGAAAGTCTTCTAGAACATGAGTGTTCCCAGTCGTTTTATAGAGAACTCAGTCTCCTTTGAAATCAGGAAGGGCTGGAAGTGCATGTGTGGCACGCACGGGCTCTGGCACACTCTGTGTCCCCTGTCGCCTCGTGGTATCCAATAATACAGGGTTAGTGGGTAATTCCCACCCACCCCACACCCCAAACCCGGGACTATTTCCCCGCTTTGGATTAGAGCAAAGACAGGTCACCCCCACACCCCGCTTGCCCACTTGCCACCACATGTGTCTCCCATTCCTTAGCCGGGTGCCTTTCCTCATTGACCTACAGACAGGAAGTTGGACTTGGCCTCGGTGGACTTGCTGAAGATGAGAGTGGCCGAGCTGAAGCAGATTCTGTACCGCTGGGGAGAGGAGTGCAAGGCCTGTGCTGAGAAATCCGACTATGTGGAGCTCATCCGGGAGCTGGCGCCCAAGTACGCAGCGGCGCCGGCCCAGACAGAACTCTGAAGCCCGGATGATAATGTGCCACGGGATGGCAGTGGAGGACACGGTCATCCGGACCGACAAACCCCAGGAGCTGCGGGGCGTGTGGTCCATGCTTTGTTGGCTGAATTGATAACTCTGAGTGAGTTACTCAGCTCCTGAAGTAAACCGCTAAGATTTATGAGATCTGACTTTTGCTGTGTCCCCCAAACTAACCGGGTTGTTCTGAGAGTCTTTGACCTGGGCAGGTGAGCAGGCCTGCCTCCTAACGTTGGGAGAAATGACCTACTGAAAGAAATTAATGAGGAAATGGAGTCTAGAAGGAGGTGTGTACTCAGACTCCCCATGGCTTCATTTTCAGTTCAGTAGGGTGGGTAAAAGAAAAACATTTCAGCTTTTCTAACACCCCACTCCTATTCTCCAGACCACAGATAATGTAGCATTATCACAACTTCTTCCCTTTTTTGGCTACATTCAGCTGTGATCGGGGCTTACTCCTGACTCTGTGTTTAGTGATCACTCCTGGAAGGGCCCGGGGGCCATACAGGTGCCAGGGGTCAAATTCAGTGGGCCACCTGCAAGGCCGGCGCCCTGCCCGCTGTTCTATCTCTCGGGCCCATCCAAAGCTTCTTAGAAAGCACACTTGGTGTTTTCCACTGCAGACCATGTTCCATTTGCATGTTCTTCGCTATCAGCCCTGCACAGCAGCAGGCACCCCTTGAACGAGTCTTTCACTTAGAAAGAAAATATCCATAAACCTCCTAAAAGAGCTGGGGATGCCATCAGGAGGGGTCTAGTGGATGGTGTCAGCACTCAAACCACTGATGCTGGCTGGTCTTACTTGTGGTCTTTTCTCTCTTCTCCCAACTCTATGTTAGCAAGCTGGCCAGAGAGGACACAAGCCCCTTTAGGGCATCTGTAGGAACAGGACGCTTGATGGCCTCAACCAAGCAAGGCACGAGGCACATCCCTGGCCCCGGTTATTATTACTTTAAGAATTATTTTGTTTTGTTTTATGGCCGCACCTCGGCAGTGCTCGGAGTTTACTCCCGGCTCTGCACTTCAGCCCAGGTTCTTAATGCTATAAGGTCTTTTATTTGGCTTTATTCCCTGACACCCAGGAATGGGAACCCCAGTATAGACATGACTGCCTCTGCATGGCTGGGGGTGGGGGGTAGGTGTAGCATTTTTTGGGGTGAGTGTGGGGTTACATGGAAGAACATGATAATTCACACATTCTGAGTACCCAGAGGTACTCAGAGTTTACTCCTGTGCTCAGGGATTACTCCTGATTCTGTGCTCAGGGATCACTCCTGGAGACACTGCGAGGACCCTCCCAGAGGTGCTCAGGCTTATTCCTGTGCTCAGGGATTACTCCTGATTCTGTGCTCAGGGATCACTCCTGCAGGCACTGTGAGGACCCTATGCTGTGTCAGAGATTGAATCCGTCTGTCATATACAGGACAAATACTTTTTTTTTTTCTTATGGAGTCACACCCAGCGATGCTCAGGGATTACTCCTGGCTCTGCACTGAGGAATTACTCCTGGCGGTGCTTGGGGGACTTTATGGGATGCCGGGGATCAAATCCGGATCAGCCACTTACAAGGCAAATGCCCTCTCTGCTACACTATTGTTCCAATTCAAAATTTGCATTTCAAAATGGGACATAAGTAAATTTTCAATTGGCAGTTGGCATTCATGAGAATTTCCGCTGAGTCTCTTTCAGATGAGAGTGGGAAGACCTTGGTGCTGTGAATGGCCAAACAGGTTCTTGTTTCTGGACTCTGGCAGTTTCCTCAGGCTGGGCGAAGCATGTCCATTATCAGAACGTGAGCTTTGAAGAGCCACTCATTTTTCTCTCCGGATCACCCTGGCCTTTACTGTTCTTTGGTGCATTCTGAATCTGTAATAACACGCCCGACGTCTGGTCTTCAACTTGGCCAGTTTTCAGGATATATATGTGGGGAAGAGGAGGAGGATAGGTGAGATTCTTCTCGGTGAGCCCCGAGTTGGCCTCTTCTAAGATGTGCCTCCTTGGTTGGGGTCTAAAGTCCTTGCTGGGTGCCATGGCCACGGGAAAAACTGTCTCGAGGACTTTGGACTGCAAGGGAGGCCTCGAGACTGGGAAGATGCTCCCCTTTATGACCCGGAGGATGTCACTGACTCAAACTTAGTCCTCTGCTACACCGTCTTTAGTTTTGCAGGATTGTTTTTGCAATTTTTTTTTTAAACTTTGTTATGGTGCCACACCTGCGGGGCTCAGGAGAGCATATGGTGCTGGGGATTGAACCCAGGCCTTTTGTGTGCCAAACGTGCGCCCAGTTCACTGAGCCATCTCACTGGTCATTCGTCATTTTTAAAACTGAGGACAATGGGAGAGATGGTGTGCCACAAGCAGCCTCTGCCACAGTGTCACTTTTTGCTGCCTACAAATGTTTATGCTAATTCCAGGTTGTCACACCCCAAATAGCACCTCAACCCGACAGCCACTGAGCTGTTTGCTGCTGTTTTGAATGTAAGCAGTTAAGTCTTTGCTTCTTTGTCTTTGGTTTCACGAGAGGTTGTTGCTGCTTTTCTATTTTACTTTTATTTTAAATGTCTTCTTCTTGTGAAGAAATCCATAAGCATACAAAACTTCAAAACCTGACATTCGGAGAAAAAGTGATAATAATACTTGGGGCCAAAATTTGGGGATGGGGGGAGGTGGTGGTGGCTTCGATGAAACTTCACAGCTTGCAAATGGCATCTCTCAGGCTGGAGAAGCAGATGGACCAGACCCAGTGTTGGGTATCACACAGTTCCCTAGCACTGCCAGGAAGGACCCCCCCACCCCCAGCATGGTGCCAGAAGGAGCCCGAGAATACTGCTGATAGGGTCCCCAAGCAAAAAAGAATGTAGCTCTCATTTGCATAAATAGTCATCTACATTCCACGAGAAATATGTGACATTTAGATCAATCTAGCCTGGCATGAAGTTTGACAAGAAAAGATTTGCTCCCTACGACTGGCCTTTGCTGTCTAAAGCCCTGTTTGTGGGTGAGTCTAGGTAACTTTTCTAAGCAGAGAGAACTTCAGCTTCTCCCCTTTCCAGGAGGAAGGTGGGCTGGCTAGGCCCACCTCGCATGTCCACTTCAGCGAGAGTGATTGAGATAAAGCAGTTCCACTGGCAGAGAAATCCTCCTTAAACCTGCTCGCATTCTAAGTTTGGAAACTTGTTAATTTTAAAATCCGTGTCATTTATTTTAATTTCCTCCAATTTCCACCACCTCCTGGTTTTTAACAGGGACCTTACATTTCTATAGTCACAAGGGATTAAAACAATTTTATTGTTTTTCAAATTATTATTGCCCTAAGAATACTCTTCCCTGGGGCTGAGGGTATATCACAGTGGTTGAAAGAACACTTGTGTGTGTTTGTGGCCCTGGGTTTGATCCTGTTGTACAAAAAAAAAAAAAAAAAAATCAGGAAAAATCCGCCCCCTCCCCCAACAAAATAAGACTCATTAGGGAAAGAGATGAAAAGCATAGGCCCAGTTTTCTGTTTTGTTGTGCGTTTCACTGATGAAGATGTCAAGATTTGCGGATTGTGCAGACAAAGGTGGGTGCTGGCATTTGAAAGTTCACCAGGATTTTAATTAAAAATCTAATGTGGGAGGCTGATAAGTTAAAACAAAATGTATTGGGGGGCCCTCCCAAGCAATGAGTGGGGAGTTCTACCAGGGCTCACTCTAGACCTGGAGTGGAGCCATCTGGCTGGAGGGGTGCAATTCTCAGGCCAGTGGAACTGGAATGGGGCGGGGGCTGGGGTGGCTCTGGGGGGAGGGGTCCACCCTGTCATACTGGAGAGTGCATACAGCATCGTGGGACAAACTCAGATCATCGTGTATGCATGTGCCCCAACCCCTGAATTAAAATTTAAACTCCAGCCCCACTGACTAAACATCCTTAGCGTGGCAAGGGGCAGAGGTAGAGGTGGTCCGTGAAAGGAATCAGTTGTTTTGTTACATGGAGCCATCAGGACCCCACCACTGTGCCCAGGGATCGAACTCGGGGCCTCGCACCTACCTCAGGGGGGTTCTACCACTGAGCTGTTACTTCCTGCCTTTCAGCTTGGCTCTTCCTCAGAAGCACAGGGGACCTTTGAAACCTCCTGGAGGCCAGACTTAGGAACGGACAGGGTCAGGTGTCTGGGGTCCTCACCTGTTCTCCATGCAGGCTGTGCATGTGTCCTGGACCTGTACATTGTGTTCACCATCCCCACACTCAGCCCTTCCAGGCCATCAAATTCTTTTATTTTTTTTCAGGCCACACCTGTGAAACTTATGGGTCACTCCTGGCCCTGTGCTCAGGAGTCACTCCTGTACTGCTTGGGAGACCATATGGGAGGCCAGGGCTCGAACCTGGGTCAGTCGCCCTACCTGCTTTACTATCGCTCTGACCCCAAGGCCAATCAGATTCTTGACCTTGTAAATGGACATACATGATTGGGCATGTTTTCTGTGCCTACCGGCTCGTTAAGATCCTGGAGATTATTGGTTCTGCTTGGCAGGAGTTTCGACCAGCGAATATTAACTCACATGTCAAACAAAAGGAAAAAGAGCAGAGAGTACAGGACCTGTCTGTTACCCAAATTCTGGAGTTCGAAACTTTCAGATTCTGGAAAGAGGCAGCTGGCTAGGGAGGTCAAGCAGGGTCCAGGCGCTTTGCACGTCCAATGTCCCGAGTTCAGTCACCTGAACCGAAATGCACATTGAGCACCAGGAATGGCCCGGAGACCCCTGAACATCATCACTTCACTGAGCACCGAACTATCTGATCCAGTTGACTGAGTATCACCAGGAGTGGCCCCTTGCCTCCCCACCAAATAAAGTGCATATATTTATTTTTTTACTTTTGTTTCTTTTGGTCAGACCTGGTGGTGCTCAGGGATTACTCCTGGTGGGCTTGGGGGACCATATAGGATGCTGGGGATCAAACCTCCGTGTGCAAGGAGAGTGTCCTGCCTACCACACCGGCTTCAAGGTACACATATTAAATATTGTTTTGATGCTGAGGGCTTTTGGGGTTGCCCCAAGGGACACATTCTCCCATAAGTCCAGGCCAGGTTGTCATGGAGAAAGTCTGGCTTTGCTCAAAGAATGAGAAACTTCAATGCCCTGTAACTGTC